CATTTAAAAATATCTGAATGCTTATGCATTTTCATGTGTGCTAGAAGAAATAGGAACTTTTAAATCCTTTAGTTTATGGATATTACAGTTTTAAGGTGAGTAAAATATATTTTTTAAAAATCTAAGTATACCAAAAGAAAAATATTAATAGTATAGGTGGTATTCTCTCAGGGCAAAAATCGTAAAAGTGGTAAGCACAACAACAATTTGGGCAACACTGGACTAGATTATTCGTGATTTCCTGAACAGCTCCTATCAGTTCATTCTAACTGTATACTATCTGGCATTATTTCCTAGCATAATAATCACCATTTATTGCTTATGCTGCTATAAGCTCTTTACGTTTATTCCTCAGAACAGTATTATGAAGCAGCTATTATTTGCTATCTTAGTTTGACCGAAAAACGAGAGGCCAAGTCATACCTGCCCGAGTTAGTGCATGGCATTCCAGGCTCCGTGTTACCTACCAGGCCTGCACAGACCACGGTTGTCCGGTGATGTACACATCCAGCCTGGCCTCAGTGACCATACACTGACTCAGGGCATCAGGTGGGGCTGGCGTCTCAGGACCTGTGATAGTAAGTCCCCTCTCCCTGACCAGTGTCATGTGGTGTAGGGGGTTCTGGCTGGGATCAGCGGTCCTGAAATCTTATTCGGGGCCTTTCCCTAACCTGCTGGTTAGCGTACTTATGGACTAACCTTGAACAGTTGTATCAGAATTGGAGGCGTTTTTTTCCAGATAGTGTCCTGGGCCCCATTCCGAGAGGTTCTGGTTTTGTATGTCTGAGATAGGACTCAGGGATTTGTATTTTAGCCGTTTTGCGAGATTCGGGAATCATGGTGCTTGATGACTTCCAGGGTCCCTTCCACCCCCCAAATTCTGTGAACCTGAGCTTGGAAGGCCTGTAGACCCTTGTGCCCTTCCCTTGACCCAACCACAAGCAGGGTAAGCCCCACAGGAAATAACAGTAAAAAAAGATACTTTATTGTTAAAAAAAAAAAATGACCAGTGAAACCATGCACCCCGTCATTCACACTCACAGTCGCACGCACAGCCACTAACCACTCACACAAACATGCTCTCCCTCACACAGCCCCCTCTCGCTGTAAGCAGCAACCCTGTGAGTGAGAGTCCCTGTTGTTCTTCCTTTTGACTTTTGTCTCCAGAAACAACACATGAAAAGGCAATGGACCGGAGAGAGGGATTGGCAGGGGAGGGAGTGGCGAGGCCACCAGAATTCTCTGGCTGCTGCCACTCCTGGCTACATACACTCTATACATGTGTACACACAGACTATACACAGCGCCCACATGTGTAGACATGTGCCCACATTGACCCTCCATGCATAGGGCGGAGTCACTGTAGGTAATACTTAGATTGGCAGGCATCTGAGACGGAAGGGCAGGCAAGGGCTGGGTGTCCAGTCTGGACACTACTGTCTGGTTCCCTGCCTCCACCCTGCCCCGAATGGACATTCTGAGCTCCTTGCGTCTAGGGAAGAAAAATCCCCTTTGGGGCAACTCGTCTAGACAGCAAGGTTGAAAAGTGCCTAAGCATTTTAAAAACGGAGAATCATGTCCTTCCTGCCTTTGGCCCAAAGTGCTTGAGAAACTTGGGATGAAGAACCCAGAGTTCCATGAGGTCTGAATTCTTAAACAAAGAAGGCCCAGGGCTGGGTGAATGCTGGCTGGCCCTGGCTTGTAGAAAGTCATGTGACTTAAAGAGGCAGAGCGAGCTGCTTGGTTGGAATCGGAATTCGAGGAGGGGGACCTCAAGAAGACTGAGGCCAAGTGATGATGCTCCTCGGGCACCCTTGTTGCCTTCATTCATCATCTAATCCCCGATGCCTAGCACAGTGACTAACATGGAGCAGATGCTGCAGTGGATGGACGAATGAGGCAGGGCGCGTAGGCGACTTTTGGGAACTGCTCGCCTGCTGCTCACCTCTCAGCTCCTAGGACACCCTGTGGCCTTCCCAGGTCAGCGACCCTGGGACATCATCTCTCCAGCAGGTGTGTTGGTAGCCTGTGAGGCATGGACCTGCCTCTGCCTCCAGAATGGAGCTGTGGGCAGGTGTAAGAATCCGCCCTGACAGAGCTGACCCGGTAGTTCAGGCTCTGCCTCCCTGGGGACTGAGAGAGGACAGATCAATGAGACACGCTGCCTCTCGCCCATAGCAGGAGTCCGTTTTTCCTGGTTTTCCAAGGCCACTGCTCTGTGCCTCCCTTTCTGCCTGGGGCCCTAGTGCTGTTTCTGGAGCTCTCCCTCAGCTTCCCTCTATCTTCAGGGACTAGCTAGGGGTCTGGATGAGCACATTTCAAGGTACGGCAGCCTGGACTGGGTATGGGGGCTTCCCTCCCACTTTCCCAGCCACGCTCAACTCACTCCCTGCTGGACAGGAGGAAGGTGCCAAGTCCTTGGCCTCCCGCCTGCCTGCCTCTGAGGACAGCTAGAACATGACCTCCTCACAGCTCCCATAATCACTCTCCACCATGTCAGAGCCCTCATAGTTGGGGGGGACCTGGGGCTGGCCCTGGCCTGTGGGAAGCCCACCTCCCACCTCGCAGTCAGCATAAGACGGCCCTGCCCGGCTGAGGCGCATACTCACGCCCTTGTAGCCCCCCTCTGCCTGGCAGGGCCCTCCCCCNACAAGGAAGATGGCCTGGCTGTTCTATGTTGAATTAGCTGTGGGCCCTCAGCAAGTCACTGCAATCTGAAAATTTTACAGACCGTATCTTTCCCCCCCCCTATAATATTTACCCCAAAGAGAGTGGTTTTCCTGCCAAGGTCTTTGGCTCTGCCCTTCTGCCTCCCCTGATACTCTATTTTCAAGGTTGTAGCCAAGGCTTCACTCCTCCCCCCCAAACCGCATATGTCTCCCTCCAGCAATGCTTCCATTTCTGGAAGATACATTTGCCTTCTCTATAAGGTCTTGAAAACCCCCATGAGATGGCGCCGTTGTGCAGGCCTGCCCTCACCCCGTCGCCACCTGAAGCAGTGGTCTCACAATTCCTTTGCTGTTTGTCCTGGTGACTTCCAGCTGCCCTTCCTCACAGGACATGGTTTTAAGTCCTGCTTCCCACCTCCTTCCTGCCTACCCTCCGCTAGCAATGCTCAAGGTTGCTGTGTCTCTCTTAAGGGCCAGCCTCAGAACCGGAACCAGGATTCCAGGAGTGGCCTGGAGTTGAGCCCCGGAGTTGAGCAGACTCCACGCTCCCAAATCCGGGCACCCCAGCTGTTAATACCAGCTAGGATTATAGTGACATTCTTGGCCTCTGAACTCAGTTGAATCCTTAGACTGAGCTAACTCCTTGCTACTGTACCTCAATTCTCTGATGTCCTGTATTTATAATTTGTTTCATGAACACAAATGTAAGGTATACAAGTGGACCTGGAGTCACGCAGCTCTGGGTTGAATCATGGCCCTGTCACTCAACT